ATGTGTGGACTTCAACTCCCCGAATTCTGGGAGTTGAAGTCAACACATCTTGAAGTTGCCAAGGTTGAGAAACACTGAATGAGAACATAGCCCATGCCGATTGAAGGAGGTGTTTCATGCAGCAGGGCTGGAAGTTCAGCTGAGAGAATCACCAATCACGGCCCTCAGAATGTTGCATCTTAAAGCTGCATGGATTTCAATGCAGCACACGCCCATCCCGGGTGCATGGTGAAGGCACACTGTAATCTCACCAAGATTTAGTGCAGCATGATTTCTTGCCAGGTTCTGGGATGGGATGGGGTGGGGTGGGAGCCCAGGCAAATATCAGTATGTTTTGGCACATTTTGGCCAGTCTGCCCCATATGCAACCAAACCTCAGATTTACCCCAAGCATGCTTACACTATTCTGTACAAGCCCCAGTCTCTAATCTAGGAACTGTCTTGCAACCAGGTTAGATTACAGGTAAGGACAAGCGTCTTAATAAACAGAGACTCTGAAATCTAGGAGCTAAAGCTTCTGAAACCACCAAAATGGAAGTCTAGCTTATGTTTACTGATAAATAAGTAAGCCTTCCGCTCTCAAAGCACTGTTACTAGATTCCAAGTTCATTTTCTAACACGTTGTACTTCTCTTACATATTAGCATTGTATCTTCCACCTTCTTTTCATGTTTGAACAGACAAGGACTTTCTTGTCAATTTTCTACGGCCTAAGCTATCAAGGCCAAAGGAATATATCTTGGGCTTTGAGTGTAGAATGAAAGGGAGGACCCTTCTGATCTTCTGTTAAGACAGTTGAATGTATTCCTTCTGTTGTCTTTTCATTCATCTTTCGAATCTTGTAGGAAATCCACGTCAGACTAGAAACGTGAGTTCCGTGGTTGCTTACCAAAGGATTGTGGATGCATTAAGAGTTTGTTTATTTATTTATTTATTACATTTGTATGCTGCCCATCTCCCCCAGAGGGGAGTTGAACAATTTAATTCAGAATTATTATTCTTTTATTTCAAAGTAACGTTCTGTTTTGCTTGTTTAAAAAAGGGCTTCATGGGACGCTGACGTTTTCTTCAAATGGAGAAGGCGGAAATAAAAAAATAAGCTTTCTTGAAGATCAGAGAGAAATACTGGGGGATTCCCCCACCCTGTAAACGGGCTGTGAGAATAATCTTGAGGAAGAGGAGAAAGAGCCACAGTGAGGTAAAAATTTTCTGTGTCCGAAGCAGGAATGGAATTTGAGAAAATGTCTCGGACGTGACCCTTCCTGGTTCACTTTAGGATAAAGGCAGGGAGCAGCAAGATTCTGTTACTGTAACCCTATAAGAAAAGTAGTTTTAGTATTCATGACTTTGGGGTCCACGTCTAGTCTACCTCGAAGGGCTGAGAGACCCCTGTCTCTTTTTCTTTCAGCCCAGGAATAGTTCGGAAGGAGTTCACCAAACGGGTCGAAATAGAAGCGGTGGTGCCTGGGAAACGTGGTGAGGCTCTCTTTTCATTGACCAACATGGCCTCAGTAAGAGAGGTGTCCAGTTTCACTGAAGATCTGCTGTGTCCCATTTGCCTCTCCATCTTTCGGGACCCTCACATGTTGGAGTGTGGCCACAGCTTCTGTGCTCCCTGCCTGGAGCCCTGCATCCCCAAAGGGCAAAGACGGGGGCTCTGCCCCGAGTGCCGACGCCCCTTTGCTTTACGCCGCATGACCATCAACCGCGCCCTCTGCAGCCTGGCAGAGAAGGCCCGGCTGCTGAAGCTGGATGAAGGGGCTCAGCTGAGCGGCACTGGAGGATGGTACTTCTGTGAGGAACACGAGGAACCTCTCAAGCTCTTCTGCAGCCAAGATGAGGAACCTGTCTGTGTCATCTGCCGGGACTTGCCTCAGCACCGTGGGCACGACTTCCTGCCCATTAAAAATGCGGTTCAGGCCTATCAGGTGAGAAACAGGCATCCTGCTTCTGGGAGGAGAATGAAGGGGGCCTCTGGGTGAACAAGAGACTACTTTGCAAGCCAAGATAAAATTCAAGTAGGGAGAAGTGTCATCATAAACAGGGACATTGAAATCTAGGAGCTTCTGAAGCCCTCCAAATATTTACCAGTAATCTAAGCTAGATTTCCACTCTCAAAGGCATGAAGAAGCACTGATACTGAATCTGTCTCTCATGTATTAGCAATTCATCTTCCACTTTCTGAAGGCAGGACCTTTTCTGGGGACACCATGATCGGCTTTCACCAACCTGATGCCCTCCCAATGTAATGGGAGTGCGGTTACTAAAATTCTCTGGGCTACAGCAAAGGGGCAGCTGTTGGCAGGGGAAGTGTCATAAATTGAACTTTGGAAATGTCTGTTTAGGGGCCCTGATGGGGCCCCACTACAGTTCAGTGCCCCTGCTGAAATTTCTTAGCAAGATAGTAAGGGGTTTGGTCGGGGGGAGCAAGGCCTGTGGTGATCTCCATATGTTAGGAATCATCCCAGGACTTGTGATAAATCACAGTTCTCCAGATACTTAACTCCTTACTCCAGGGTTCCTCAACCTTGGCTTCAACTCCCAGAATTCCCCAGCCAGCATGGGGGATATTGAGTAAAAGTAACTGCTATATTGAGTAAATGTAATGATCTTAAGATAAAAAGGCAAATTTTCTTATGGGTCAGGAACAGGTTGAAGAAGGAATGAGTCCAATTTAGGCTGAAGGAGTAGACAATCTGAACTACAACTCCCAGGTTCCCTTGTTATTGGTCCATCTTAATGAAATGATGGGAATTGAAGTTCAGTGACAATCGGTAGGGACAAAGATTTCCTGCTCTCAGGATCCACACTATCACTGGCTGGGGAATTCTGGGAGTTGATGTCCACCTGTCTTGAAGTTGCCAAGGTTGAGGAACCCTACCTTACTCAGATCTTGATAGTCTCAGCAGAAGAGCCACATCCATACAGTGGCACTTCCATCTTAAAGCCAGAAGGAAATCACACTGCTCTAATTTTTGCTCCTCCACAGTGTGAGTTTATGCACTCTGGAGTGGATCTGTGTGTGCTGCTGTTCATGCAGCTTTAAAGCACACCGTTCTAATTGGGGGGGGGGGGTCCCTGGGCTGAAATTCCAGCCCACCATCCAACTCATGGAAAGCCTCCCACAACAGGCTTGCCCAACCCTCTGGTTGCTCAGTGCGCTGCAAATCTCTTTCTTTTTTCTTTCTCTGCTGTACCATCAGCAGACTGAGCTGTTTGTTCTTGCTTTATTTGTTAATAAATTAGAAAAAAAAGAAAAAACAATAAGAAAAAGAAAAAAGCAATGCAACGAAAAGATGTAGTGGCTTTTCATATAATTCACACTTTATAGAGATCTATAGTTATAAATGAAGTAAGAGTTACACAACAGTTTTAATAAAGGATGACCATTCTTTATTGTAATTGTCGAGATCTAATCTACATCTGTAAACAACTGATGATTAAATAGTAACACCCTCCACTGAGTCATTGGGATCATAAACGGCTCTTTCCAAAATTGAATGACTAGTTTTCTTAGTAATAAGAAAGGCACAGAGGATCCATTTTCATTGCCCGGCATCTGTTCCAGTGTAAAAGTTCTAATTGAATTTTTTTTTAATTGTATTGTCGAAGGCTTTCACGGCTGGAATACGATGGCTGGTGTGGGTCTTCCGAGCTGTGTGGCCGTGTTCTGGAAGTTTTGGTTCCTAACATTTCACCAGCATCTGTGACCA